TCTCTCGTTTTCAAAACAGAAAAACCCTAAATTCTGGCTTGAAAAACCACTTCCTACATTTAAAAGAACAGGGTCATTTACTTTTATGGAGCAGCATCCCCCTTTTGTGGCCTTTTAAGGTTTTACCATTTGAAAATAAAAACAAATTATATCCTAGTATTTCCAAATTATCAAACTGAAATAAAATTTCAAGTCATTTTGCATTTTAAGTTCTACAGGCATATACTCCACAGTTTATCTGCCCTGTGGGTTAGATGAACTGAAAACTAAGGGTTACTTACATCCATTCTTAAAAACAGAGAAATTTTATCTTCCTTTAAACCTCTATGCAAGATTTAATAGTAACCCATGCAACTGCTGTAGACAATATTACTTAGCCCCTACTGTCTACTTTAATTCCTTGTCCATGTTTTAAAAATTAGGTTCCTGGCTAGGCACGTGGCTCACGCCTATAATCCCAGCACTTCAGGAGGATCACTTGAGCCCAGGAGTTAAAGACCAGCCTGGGCCACATAGTGTGACCTTGTCTCTATTTAAAAAAAAAAAAAAAAAAGTTTCACATAAAAATCAGGATGTGGCCGGGTGTGGTGGCTCAAGCCTGTAATCCCAGCACTTTGGGAGGCCGAGACGGGCGGATCACGAGGTCAGGAGATCGAGACCATCCTGGCTGACACGGTGAAACCCCGTCTCTACTAAAAAAATACAAAAAACTAGCCGAGCGAGGTGGCGGGCGCCTGTAATCCCAGCTACTCGGGAGGCTGAGGCAGGAGAATGGCGTGAACCTGGGAGGCGGAGCTTGCAGTGAGCTGAGATCCGGCCACTGCACTCCAGCCTGGGCGGCAGAGCGAGACTCCGTCTCAAAAATAAATAAATAAATAAAAATAAAAATCAGGATGGTCCAATTTCTCTGGAAAAATCAAAATTGCTGGCAAAACTGGAACCACATTCTTGCACAGCAACAATCTACTGAATCTAAGTAGTGGTCTCCACCATACCATATGGGCTCTGGACAATGAAGCTGGATATCATTTATCACATGGCTGGTACTGTCATTTTTCTAGTACTCAGTGGTGTCACTCATTTAACACCGGCCTGACTCCTATAGGGATGTGAATGTGTGACTCTTATTTTACTCATTAATCAATTAATTAAATCCTTTTTTCCATAGATAATATAAATTTCATTCATGTTTCACAATAAATTACAAATTAGTGGATCAAATATTTTTATGGTAAGGTATTATGGGATAATTATAAATTCACAAAGGTGAAGACTCACCTACATTAACAATAGACCCTCCCTGTTGTTGAATCATAGCCCTCATGGCAGCTTTACAGGTCAGCATGGAACCCAAGAGGTTAGTATGAAGCTGAGATACCATATCTTCAGTTTTTGTTCTTACTAAAAGACTATCCCTACGAAATGAAACAGCATATAACAGTATATAGTAAGATAAAAACAAACAAAAGAGGTTAAGACTAATATAACATTTTTACTGAAAGTAGAGTGCAAGAAGTGCTTCCTATCTGAGCTAGAATAACTAGAATACCTAGAGTCCCATTTTGAACTTGGCTTGAGAAACATTAAAATAACAATTGATAAACCAGAAAGGATCCACTTGGAAGACAGGTTCTTACCCCGTCTCAGCTTGAGTGGAAATATTCTTAACCCCTAAAAGGAGTACCATGTAGCCAAAATAGTTTGAATGACCTGAGCAACTGTCATACTAAGCCTTGTTTAGCAAGAAAATTAATGTTATTCTAAATATTCTCTCATAAATTCATCTTTTAAAAAATAATGTCCACTCCATGATTCTATTAGTGTTAAGTTCACAAACTGGCAAAACGTATATATGGTGACAAAACTCAGAAAATAGTTACCAACAAGAAAGTATTGAGAAGACACCGCCTTCTGGAGCACTGGAAACATTCTACACCTCAATATGTGTGATGACTACAATGTTAAAATCGATTAAGCTGGGCCAGGCGCGGTGGCTCATGCCTGTAATCCCAGCACTTTGGGAGGCCGAGGCAGGCAGATCACGAGGTCAGGAGATCGAGACCATCCTGGCTAACACGGTGAAACCCTGTCTCTACCAAAAATACAGAAAAATTAGCCGGGCGTGATGGCAGGTGCCTGTAGTCCCAGCTACTCTGGAGGCTGAGGCAGGAGAATGGCGTGAACCCGGCAGGCAGAGCTTGCAGTAAGCCGAGATCGCGCCACTGCACTCCAGTGTGGGGGGACAGAGCAAGACTCCGCCTCAAAAAATAAAAATTAAAAAAAAAATAAAATTTAAAAATCGATTAAGCTGGACATTTGTTATATGTTGTATCTCAATATAAAAGAAAAGAATTATGGATTGACAAGTTTTAAAATAGCTTTTACTCCCAGTTAGAAATAAAATAAACATATTAACTTATACTAATCAAAGACATATTAGGAATAAAAGTTTTAAATATATATCAGAAATTTATTTAAATCTGTGACCAACCTGTTAATACCAGCTGCATTTACCAAGAAATTTACTCGACCTAAATGTTTCTCCATCTCTTCAAATGTATTTTGAACATCATGTTCTTTAGCAACATCACAGCTAAATGCCAAATGATCTCCTACACAACAAAGTCAAAGAAGAATTAATTATAAGTTATAACTCAAATTTTAAATGTACTCAATACACATTCGTTAAACATTTACCTAAGATGGCAGGCCTGTGCTAATCTAGAACCTAGAGATTAAAAAAGTAATGTCATGAGGCCTGGCTTTCACAGAGGTGGTCTAATCAAACTGGGATGGGGGAACAAAGAGGAAATAAAGTACTACTACAGAAAGTTAATTTTTAAATTTTCTTTTTAATCAACAAAGAGGGGAGGGCTTTTTCAAGTTATAAAGGCTCTGTAAGATTCATCTAATAGTATTTATAGCTTTAACACTGAACTCATGCTACCCAATTCGACAGTCTTCTCGGTTTTATATTCTTTTTTGAAATTTATGTCTAATTCTGTCAGGTTTTTGTTGAATTAGTTTCTTTGGCCCTGAACAGGAACTCTGAGGTTTCTTCTTTTTAAGTGCTACAGATGCACTATGGCACATATATTATAACGACTATTATTCAAACCTGACCATCAGGAGAGACGAGACAACACAAGAAGCTGTAAAAATGCTAAAACTATAAACCACGGGGGGAAAAAACACTTTTCACTAAAAGCAAATGTTACTTACCACTTTTTAAAAAATGGTTAAATGCCAAAAAACACTTCAAAGGAAAATAAAGCATCATTCCCTATGTAATAATCTACCATTTTAATACTCTAAAATGTAGAATTGTTTTTAAAAGCTACAACAATTGCTTATTTCCTGTCTGACCTTGACAAATATGCTTACACCAACATTACAACATCAAGCCTTTGGAAACAGTAAGTGACCTGGGGAATTATACTTTCTAGATGAAAACCAATCTCTCATGGAACACGATTCAAAGGAATGCAGGGCCCAAAAGCATCCTGTGTCTTACTCTTGGTTTTCACCTGAAGACTTGTGGTGTCCAAAACCACCTTTGAAAGCTCAACTAATGGCATCAATCCAGTCCAGCAAACACTGATGGCTTGGGGTGACTCGGTAAGGGTCACCACTCTTCCCCTCCTTTGTTAGAATGGCAAGGAATATGAGCTTCAAGAAGCATTCACTGGCATTCTCCCTGAGTTATAACTTACAGGATTTTTTTTCTTTTAGAGAGCCCAATACTCTCACAACCAGCACTGAACAGGTGATACCAAACCGATCAATAATGTTAACTTAAAAAAGAACAGCCACACCTGGCGCCTATAGTCCCAGGTCCTTGGGAGGCTGAGGTGAGAAGATCTCCAGAGCCCAGTAAATCAGGAGTTGGAGTCTAGCCCAGGCAACATAATGAGAAGGAAGCCCTCTCAAAAAAAAAAAAAAAAAAAAAGGCCGGGGCGTGGTGGCTCACACCAGTAATCCCAACACTTTGGGAGGCCGAGATGGGCGGATCACGAGGTGAGGAGATCTAGACCATCCTGGCTAACACGGTGAAACCCCCATTTCTACTAAAAAAAAAAAAAAAAAAAAAAAAAAAAAAAATAGCAGGGCATGGTGGCGGGCGCCTGCAGTCCCAGCTACTCCGGAGGCTGAGGCTCCAGAATGGCGTAAACCCGGGAGGCGGAGCTTGCAGTGAGCCGAGACAGCGCCACTGCAATCCAACCTGGGTGACAGAGCGAGACTCCGTCTCAAAAAAAAAAAAAAAAAAAAAAAAAAACACAAACCACACACACACAAACAGTAAGAGCCACAAGACGCACCCCTAGGCCTCTATTCTCCCCATGCCTCCCTGATAGTAAATGAAGTACAATTTTGTCCAGTCTAGTAATTAAACAAAAATATAGCATCTTCCGATCTTTCTAACGTCCTTTCTCCCTAAATTCAAGGAAGAGTTAAATTCACAAAATGACTAATCCACTATTAATAACCCGGAAATAAAAAATCCTGAAGTTTAAATGCAATAAAAAAGAATTTGGCAGAACAAAGTTCAACTGTCCATTTGCAAAACTCACCAAAACAATTTAGTAACATTAAAGCAAACCAGGTATATCTCAAAACTGGCTGGTACTCAAAAGGGTTTCTTCATCAAACACTGCTTTGTGCATTCGCGCAGGGCCAAAACACCGCCCTTGGGCAAAACTGAAGGGAGCCCTTTAATACCTGCACTCCTACCTCTCCTGCCTGAACTCCTTTCGGCCCAGCCCTGTCTCCGGGGGCCGAGAACTCGCCCTTTTCCCTACATTAAAAGTAAACGGTTACGTGGCTCTCTCCCACAACAGCGACGTTCCTCAGGGTTAGCACTAGCCGCAGGGCGGAGGGTGCTTATTAGTGGGGCCTCATAAGACTACCAGGTGTCAAAGAAAACCCCAAGTGCTCAGCCGTCGGCGGCAGGCTGCGCTGCCGGCGTTCTGCGAGGCTCAGGGAGATCGGGGTTTTCTGCACGAGACGCATTCTAAAGCGCCTGCAAGCGGTTGCATCGAGAAACCTCAGAGCCCTGTAAGACCATACCGCTCGTTTCACAAAGATTTTAAGCGCCTGGACCGCGGCCATACAACTGGACAACTCCAGTTTGGTACCTACCGCCGAGGTCACCGGCGGCGGCTTTGGCCCCTTCCAGGTTTCTGGCAATGATCGCCAGGCGGTAGCCTTTCCGGGCCATTAACTGGGCCACAGCCCTGCCAATGCCTCGGGAGCCTCCAAAAATAGCACACACTTTGTCCATCTCGGAGTCACAAACTCGGCGGAAAGAGGGAGGAGAGTGGGAGTCCCCTTCCAAGTTCCGTCAAGCTTTTGAACCACCGCGGTTCCAAAGGAAAAACAAAAGGCAACCCGCAGAAAAAAAAACCCCGCTCGGCACCGACACCTCTTGCGGCCCGACTCTGGTAATGCAAGAGGCGTAAAAAGGGGAGAAGAGCTCGGCGACGCCGCGTCGACGTCATCACGTACGGACTCTTCCGTGCCGCGCCTAACAAGTACGCCAGCGAGAGCGCCCCCCGACGGAAAAATGGCCTGGAGGGGGCCTAGATGCATGCTGGGCCCTGTAGTCTTCACGCAGGAGAGCAACTGGCGCAGGCGCGTTGCTCGGTGGGAAATGTACTTGTGGCACTGAGGGGGTTCCTCTGTCTACCCTGGGTCGTGTTAGTCGGGATTCGAGCTCCGGTGACCAATCACCCCGGTTTGTTCGGAACTGACAGGGTTGTCAAGACGCTGGGCTTTCCCTGGCAAACCAAGACGACTTCATCACGTAGTTAGAACCCAGAGCAAGCATTAGTGGGCTTGAGCCGGTCGGGGCTCCGGTATTTGCCCTTCGCCCAGGTTTTGTTTTGCCTACAGACTTGATGTCCTACCTGTTGAAGAAGTCCCCAAGTATCGCACCCACACCAAAACCTACCCTATCTGTTCCTCCCCCAGGATGCTGCAGAAATGGACCTCTACCCGCCCAGATGTTACCGTTCATCGCGAAGGGTGTCGTGAAGATGAATGCCCTGTCGAACATCATCCAGCAGGAGGTCAAGGAATTTTAACTGAATGATTGAATAGTTTTGCAAGATCTATGAAACAAGCTTCGGCTGCTGTAGAGAAACAAAAATGGGTTCCTGCAATTCTAAAGATGTGCTGGGTGCTCTGACAGTTAATAAGCTAAAAAATTCAATGTTTGTTACAAACATAGTGTAAAAAGAAAGCATTTCTTGATACAATATTATTTTACTAGATGATTCAGAAAAGTATGAACCATGATCCCTACCACTAAAAAAAACTACACCCCAGAACTACAGGACTAATACACATGAAACACTAGGAGGTATCCAAAATCATACTTAGTAAAATGTAAAATTATATTAACACAAGAGCTCCGAGAAAACGGAGATCAGTGAAGAATGAAGGCATGCATGGAAAAGCTGGATTTGAGGGCTGGGTGAGGTTTGAAAAAAGGAAAATAAGAGCAAAAAGTCTATAAAAAAGCAAGTTGAGCATTATTTTAAATTTGTTATTCCTATTCCATTTAGAGCCAATAAAAGTTTTGAAATGGTTTGCAAAAATGCATGAGTATTTGATTTTAAAAGGCAAAGAGGACCAATGCCCCTTCTCCCGCAAGGCCAGAATAATAAATTAAGTCAGTGGAAAAAATACGAATAAAGTCATGCTGTAAGAATCTATTTAGTATTAAAGAAGAGATTCATAAACTTAGAGTTTCCTGCCAGCAAAAGCAACAAAGAAAATATAATTACGAGTGGTAATTTGTGTAAGAAATAAACCTCCTGGTTATGCAGCAGAGAAGACTGAGCAAAACTCCCTCCTCATAGGTCCTCCTAAATGGCACACTAAGCATTGTAGTAGACAGTGTGCTTCATGAAAAGAAAAAGAGATTGTAAGGCTGTTTTTATAGCATCTATTAGACTTTATTAAAAGCAAATACAATAGGAAGTTAAATAATATAAGCAAATAGTCACACATAAAAAAATGTGTCTTTGAAACAATATATGTTTGAAACAATGAGGAAACAGGTCTGAGGAAATTTGGGATGGTGCTATATTACAGTCAGTTTTAAAGTCAGGTGCCAAGCATTAAACAGGCCTTTAACTACAGAAGTAACAAGATAAGAGCTGCATTTAAGAACTATTAGCAGGCCAGGCATGGTGGCTTATGCTTGTAATCCCAACACTGTGGGAGGCTGAGACAGGAGGATTGCTTGAGCAGAAGTTCAAAACCAACCTGGGAATCATGGTAAGACCCCCTCCTACCCCCATCTCTGCAGAAAATTCCAAAAAAATTAACTGGACATGGTGGCCTACGTGTGGTCCCAGCTACTTGGGAGGCTGAGTTGGGAGGATCATGTAAGTCCAGGAGGTTGAGGCTGCAGTGAGCCGTGATTGTACCACTGCACTCCAGCCTGCGTGACAGAGCAGGATCCTGTCTCAAAATAAAATTTTTCTAAAAAAAAAAAAAAAACAAACATTAGTTTCCCAGTGATGTAAAAATGGGTCAGATCAAATTTGTCTATTCACTTTCCTACTATACACTATGCAATCTTGGAAAGAAAAAACTGTTTTACATAAATTACCAATATAAGGGTCAGCCTAAATGCCAATTGTATTTCTGCACCTTAGGTCAAACCAGAGAGGTTCATCTTTTGAACAGTTCTCTCCATTTTCTAGGAAAATGATTGTTGTTTTCTACACATTGTTATTTTAGCAAAAAAAAAAAAAAAAAAAGCATGGTTTTTAGATCTATGCCATCTATCACAAAGATCACTAACACACGATATGAGGTGACATTCAGAATTGTGAAAAACCTTCCAACTTTTCTCACTATATATATACAGTGAATGGATAAGTTGGGCTTTTTCTTCAACACATACCTCAGGTTAAATCCCAAGGTAATTATTTATTTTTTTCCCTCTTAATACAATATCGCCACTATCCTGGGTGAGAATACATCTATCACAGCACATCACCCATTAGCTGAGAAGCTTACAGCAGGGGAAGTTTCTCTGTAAGCCCCTGATAGTGAAGTGAAGATCTGTAAATTAAACCGGGTCTCCCTACCCAGCAGGACATTGAAGAAAGCCATTAGAACAACCCACCTTTAGTCTTTCCTTCTAACTAAACATGCCACTTTTATGGTAATATTTTAACCATATTTTATACTTTAACTTAAACCCACATAAGATATATTTTCTCTTGTCTCCAACAAAGGAGAAAATTCCTTATGTATAAGGACTGTTACACAAATTTTTAAATATGCATACTTTGTATTATTTTTCTGATTACAAAAGGAATACCATTTAATTGCTAAAAGTTAGAAAACATAAACTTTTTAAAGTAAATAAAAACTCATTGAAAGCATTGTACACTTTAAGCGCGTGAATTGCATGGTATGCAAATTATATCCCAATGGAACTGTTATTGAAAAAAATTTAATTTAAAGCCTACTGTCCTGTTATATGAAATCTGAATCTGCAACTAATTATAAGGGGGTTGTACCTTTCATGAATTTTTTTTTCATACGTCAAGATTTACAATGCCTAAGATTCCAAATACGCAGGAAAATTTATTTATAAGAAATTTATGAATTAGGACTGAATATTCATTGAGAATCCTCTTTACAAATGCACCACACTAAGCACATCCAGCTTATCAGATCCATAATTGAAGTGTAAGCCTTCCTGCCAGCAAGCAGTCTCCCAGGATTCTTCAGGCAGTGATGATAATCTGCATGACCCAAATTGCATGTGGCCAGCGTAGCTTCTCATACAGACCATGCTCTTCTTTCAAGAAGAAAGATTAGAAAGCTGCATTAGTGTGGCTGCACAGATATAACTTTTGTGATTAAAAAGCGTGTTGATTTCCTCATTGGCCTTCTTGTATCCAATCTGCTGGGTAATCTAAATTGTAAGGAATGTACTTTTTATCACTTTCAAAAGCTTATTTTATTTTGAGTGGAAAAAAAAATGTGACCCTTGAGCTTGTTATTTTGTTGAATTGACGTTTATGCCTCTGAGGCTGCCCACCGAGACCTAAACCTAGTACTCAGTTGCCTAAGGCAGAAGTATGGAATTTATTCCTTCCCTCTCTCACACATCCCACATCCAATCAGTCACAAAGTCCTACTGATTCTCCTCCCTAAATACCATTCCCACTTCTACACATCCATGCTTTTCCAAACACTGTCTTCTCAACCTCGAATGCTCCCACGACTTCCCCTGGTAACATAAGATTTGTCATTCAAAACGTGGCTCAAACATCTCTTGCAGTGGAAGCCTCTCCTGACCCAAAGGAGGAAATGCTGATGTCCTTCTTTATCCATCCTCTTACCTTGTACGTGTCTTCAAGTCTGTATTTCATGGACTTACTGTGACCTTAGAATCCACATAATTTTAGGAAGACAGTGAATAGATTCTCAAGGATCTGTGAACCTACCAAGCTGAATACAAAATCTCATGTGCTTTTTAGATGAGTAGCTTCTTGCAAGAGTCCACTTCCTTCACTGGGTTCTCAAGGGGAACTTTCACCTAAAATGGTTAAGTGCCAGGTGTAGTGGCTCACACCTGTAATCCTAGCATTTTCGGAGATGGAGGCGGCAGGATCACTTGAGCCCAGGTATTTGAGACCAGCCTGGGCAACATGGTGAGACCTCATCTTTTAAAAAAAACAAAAAAACAAAAAAAACCCATAAAACATAAAATAAAATGGTTAAAAACTTTCTGTACTAAATTGCCAACTCTTTGAATCCAGAAATGATCACATTGGTTTTTGTTTCCCTGTTGTAGCACAGTTCCTAGGGCTTGTGAATGCTAAATAAATGAGTTAACAAATGAATCAATGAGTGAATGAAATAACTCATTTAAAAGGAATTTATTGCTATAAGGAAGAACCAGAGTCAATACAGCTGTGATTAAGATAGACCTGGCTCCTGTTTTCATTGGGAAAATAATCTGGCAAGGAAGACAGACATTAAACAATTAATCACGCAATTACTATTTAATTCCAATGGTGGGAAGACCTATAAAGGAGAAGTACAGGCTGCTAGAAGGGATCATAACTAGGGGCTTTGATCCAATATGGGGGCCTGGGGTCAGAGAAGGCTTCTTCTTTCAGGACATAATGTTCTAAAAATAAATGAATAATAACAAAGAAAGATTGCAAAGAATGATAACTACAGCTACTCTCCATTCATTATGTTACAAAGTCAACTAGGTGATAACATAATTTATACATGAAGAATAAAAATCCAAATTAAAAATTCACTTTAATGATGAAAGAGATTGTTAGTCAAAGTAGAGTTAGTATTACGCCTAGATGAGATCACTTAGGTTGGACATTTCACCAGGAGGTACCATGGGAGAGCATAATGCCTGAACTTTTATGAAACTCTTTTTTTTTCCCAGCCAAAAATTTTCTAATGGTGTAAAGCCAGCTCTGGATACTTAAAATCAGGCCCCAAATGCAGCATGCATGCCAAGTCACATAGAAGAGGAAAACTCAGTGTTCCTGAAATTAGTTCTAACACTGGCCTCAATCCTCTGACCCCAGCCTCCTACTATTCCATTTCCATCTCTTTGTTTCAGGGCCTTCCCAGCTCTACCCTCTGGTTGCATAGTCTCATGTGGCTCTCAACTCATCTACTGCATTTACCAGACTTAAATGAGCCTTCCCCATCCAGGCCCTGCAGCTACTCAGACTCCTAGATCTGTATCAGAGGCCCTGGCCTGGCAGCCTCCACTGCACTTGGGCTCTGCAAGACGTTCTCACTCTTCCAGGGTCACCTGGGAAAGCCAGAATCGATACTGTGTGGTTTAACATTTGAAACTGACTTGCATGTAATGGCTTCTGCATTTCCAGATGGTACCTGTGTGATTGTAGGAAACTCATTTTAAGGATCACTGCTTTTTGTTTCTCATCTACAAGCTACAGAGACCCATCTCTCAGTTTGGATTTTGATTAAATAGTTATGCAGAGTAGAATACTTGGGCCATACACAAAACTTAATTAAAATAGGCCTCCACTTGGGATTAATATGTGTTATTGACTGAATCGTGCCCCTCCTCCCTCCCCCGCTTCCCCGCCATATTCATATGTTCAAGTCCTAACCTCCAATGTGGCTGTATTTGGAGATAGTGCCCTTAGGGAGATAATTACGATTAAATGAGGTTCTAACAGGAGGGCCCTAATCCAATAGGACACCAGAGAGCTTGTGCTGGAAATCTCTCTCTCTCTCTCTCTCTCTCTCTCTCTCTGTTGCCTCCCTGCACAAGGCCATGTGAGGACACAGTGAGAAGGCATCTATCTGCAAGCCAGGAAGAGAAGCCTCACCAGAAACCAACACAATTGCACCTTGATCTCAGACTTTCAGGCTCCAGAACTGTGAAAGAATTAATTTCTGGTGTTGAAACCACCCAGTCTGTGGTATTTTGTTATGGCAGTCCCAGCAGACCAATAGAATGTGACTGTTCACTGTCTTCTCTACTACAAGCAAGCTGCAACGTGCTGCTAGGTAATACCACGCAGCCACTGCTGCTTGTGTGAGTTGAGTTGGGGAG